ATATCGAATCACTACGTTGTGTACTAGAAACTAACATAGTGTTGTAGGTCAGTTATACTTAAATTAAAAAAAAAAATAAATGGGAGAAGAACCTCAAAAAAACAAGATAGCAAACAATATTCGTCAAAGTTGCTCAGAGACCCTTTTTTAAAATGTTGGTGTGCCACATGCTAGGACACAGATCCAATTATTAGGGAGTTTACATAGCTTCAGTGTAGCCCTTGTTAGCAAGTGGACTTTACATACATAAAGGATTCATATCAACATAACAATAAGAAAAATAATAAACATTTTGCATCAACTGTGAAATTCTGAAGACGTAAGCTGGAATACTGATCATGATGCTAATTTTTGCTAAATATTTCAAGTTTGGTACAAAGTAGAACTATATTTTTGGGCTTCCCTGGTGGCACAGTGACTGAGAGCCCACCTGCCAATGCAGGGGACGTGGGTTTGAGCCCTTGTCTGGGAAGATCCCTCATGCTGCGGAGCAGCTGGGCCCGTGTGCCACAGCTGCTGAGCCTACGCTCTGGAGCCTGCGGGCCACAGCTGCTGAGCTCACGTGCCACAACTACGGAAGCCCGCGTGCCAAGAGCCCGTGTTCTGCAATGGGAGAGATCACTGCAATGAGAAGCCTGCACACCACAATGAAGAGTGGCCCCCGCTTGCTGCAGCAAGAGAGAGCCCACGAGCAGCAATGAAGACCCAGTGCAGCCAAATATAAATAACTAAAATAAATAAATTTTAAAAAAAGAACTACATTTTTAAAACAAGCATTTGAGATAATTTGTCCTAAAAACAAAAACCTATCTTTATGTGCTAAAATAAAAAAAAAATTAAATAGCAGTAATTTTGACTGACTTACAAGTAATAATGTCTTAGATGTGAAAACACTAATTTTAGTATCATACCTCAAGCGTGATAATCTCTCCTTAGTTGTCTTAAAAACCTATTTGTAATAGAAGAAAAGAGTAAATCTTCAAAACGCCAGCAGCTCAAATAAAATTCACTTCCCTCAAAAAATAAAGATTAGTACAGAAATAAATGAAATAGAGATCAGAAAAACAGTAGAGGGAAAAAAATCATTGAAATTAAGAGTTGGTTTTTTGAAAATAATAACATTGACAATCCTTTAACTAGACTACTAAGGAAAACAGAGAGAAGACTCAAATAAGTAAAATCAGACATGAAAGATGAGACATTACAACTAATGTCAGAGAAATAAAAATATTATAAACAACTATGTACAATTATACACCAACAAATTGGACAATCTAGAAAAAATGGATAAATCCCTAGAAACACAATTTGCTAAAACTGAATTATGAATAAAAATCAGAATAGACCTATAACTAGCATGTAGATTAAATCAGTAATCAAAAACCTCCCAACAAAGAAAAGTCGAGGACCATTCAGCCTCACAAGTAAATTCTACCCAACTCTTAAAGAATTAACGCCAATCCGTCTCAAATTCTTATAAAATATTCAAGAGGAGGGAACACTTTTAAAATCATTTCATGAGGCCAGCATTAGCCTGATACCAAAACCAGAAAAAGATACTACAAGAAAAGAAAACTACAGGCCATATCTCTGATGAATATAGACTCAAAAATCCACAACGAAATATCAGCAAACCAAATCCAACATCATATTATGAAAGGTGCAGGGGCTTCCCAGGTGGCGCAGTGGTTGAGAGTCTGCCTGCCGATGCAGGGGACACGGGTTCATGCCCCGGTCTGGGAGGATCCCACATGCCACGGAGCGGCTGGGCCTGTGAGCCATGGCCGCTGAGCCTGCGTGTCCGGAGCCTGTGCTCCACAACGGGAGAGGCCACAGCAGTGAGAGGCCCGTGTACTGCAAAAAAAAAAAAAAAAAAAGAAAGGTGCATATACCATGACCAACTGGGATTTACCCCTGGAATGCAAGAATGCTTCAACTTATGAAAATTAACTAGTATGATAAACCACATTAACATAACAAATGTTACAAATCACATGATCATCTCAATAGATGCAGAAAAAGCATTTAATAAAAATTCAACAACCTTTCACATGATAAAAACATTCTACAAACTAGGAATAAAAAGAAATTACTTCACTATAATAAAGATCATATATAAAAAGCCCACAGCTAACATCATACTCAATGGTGAAAAACTGAAGGCTTTTTCTTCAAGAAAAGAAACAAGACAAAAATGCCCACTCTTGGCATTTCTATTCAACATAGTACTGAAGTCCTAGCCCAGCCATCAGAGAAGAAAAAATAATTAAAGACATCTAAATAGGAAAGGAAAAAGTAAAATTATCTTTGTTTACAAATTCCATGACCTTAAATACAGAAAACTCTAAAGATTACACAAAAGAACTGTTAGAACTAAGAAATAAATTCAGCAAAGTTGCAGGATACAAAAGTCAACGTGTAAAGATCAGTTGCATTTCTATAAACTAATGATGAACAATCCAAAAAGGAAATTAAGAAAACAATTCCATTTACAACAGAATCAAACACAATAAAATACTTTAGGAATAAACTTAATAAAGGGAGTGAAAAACTTATACAATAAAAAGTACGAAACACTGCTGATAGAATTTAAAGACGCAAATAAATGGAAAGACATCCTATGTTCATGGATTGGAAGACTTAATATTATCAAAATGCCCATACTATCCAAAGTCACCTACAGATTCAATGTAATCCTTATCAAAATCCCAATGGTAGTTTTTGCAGAAATTGAAAAATTCACCTTCACAATTCATATGGAACTACAAAGGATCCTGAATGCTCCAAATGATATTGAGAAAGAATAACAAATTTAGAATCCTCACACTTCTCCATTTCTAAACATATTTCAAAGCCATAGTAATCAAAAAATTATGGTAGTGGTATAAAGACATACATGTAGTCCAATGTAACAGAATAGACAGCCCAGAAACAATCCCATCAACTGATCTTCCACAGGGTCCCAAAAGAACACGAGAAAAGATAATCTCCTCAACAAATAGTACTAGGAAAACTGGATGTCCACGTGAAAAAGAACGCAAGTTCATCCTTAACATACACCACACACAAAAGTCAACTCATCACGGATTTAAATGTTTAAGCTTTGAAACTATGAAACTCCTAGAAGAAACCACAGAGGAAAAGCTTCTTGGCATTTACATTGGCAATGATTTCTTGGATACACACCAAAACAACAGGTAACAAAAACAAAAATAGAGAAACGGGATTATGTAAAACTAAAAAGCTTCTGCACAACAAAGGAAACAATCAAGAGAGTGAAAAGGCCACTTATAGAATGGGAGAAAATACCTGAAAACCACATATATGATAAGGGATTAATATTCAAAATATATAAGGAATTCCTAAACTCAATAGCAAAAAACCCAAATAACCTGATTAAAAAATGGTCAAAGGATCTGAATAAACATTTCTCCACAGACAACACACATATGGTCAACAGGGATATGAAAAAATGCTCATCATCACTAATTGTCAGGAAAATGTAAATCAAAATCACAAGGAAGTATCATCTCATGCCTGTTAGTATGGCCATTATTAAAAAATATTTTTTTAAAACAACCCAGAAAATAACACATGTTGACATGCATTTGGAGAAATTGGAACTCCTGTGCATTGTTGGTGTAAATTTAAAATGATTCAGCCACTGTGGAAAACAATATAGAGGTTCTTCAAAAAATTTAAAGTAGAACTATCATATGATCCAGCAATTCCACTTCTGGGAACTGAAATCAGGATCTCAAAGACATATCTGCACACCATGTTCACTGCAGTATTGTTCACAATAACCAAGAGGTGGAAACAACATAAATGTCCATGGACGAATGAATGGAAAAAGAAAATGAAGTAAACAATGGAATATTGTTCAGTCATAAAAAAGAGGAAAATCCTGTCATATGCTGTAACATAGATGAACCTTTTACGTTAAGTGAAATCAGCCAGTCACAGAAGGACAAACACTGCTTGTTGCCATTTATGTGAAGTATCTGAGAGAGTCAAACTTATAAAAACAGAGAGTAGAAAGGTGGTTGCTAGGGGCTGGGGAGAGGGGGAAATGGGAGAACTGCTGTTCATGGGGTATTGTTTGTCATGCAAGACGGAAAGTTTCTACAGACCTACTGTACAACACGGTGCTTATAAAGTTTATAATACTGTACTATTCACTTAAAGTTTTATTGAGTGAGATCTCACATTATGTTTTTTATCACATTAAAAAGAAAAAGTATTTCCAAGCTTTCCTTTGAGGTGGGAGCTAGAGTCCTGTTGGGCCCTGGGACGTGGTGTACTTATTCCAGTCAAGACACAACTTTCCCATCTCCACGCACACAGAGGTAGGGAGGCGGAAGCTCCAGGGACTAGCCTTCAAAGGTCAGAATATATAAACTTGATACCAAACTAATTTCCAAACTTGGGGATTAGAAGAAAGGACCCTGACAGGAAATGGTATGGTCAAACACTTACCCAGGTAACTGGAATACATTTGCAGTGTTAAATACCAGGACTTGAAAGAAAATGTGTTTCTAGATTTAGGTAGGATCTAAATGAAGATAAATAACTAAATAAATGAGGGATAAAACTAATCTATAGTATAAATACCCATTGAAACAAGTGTTACCGCAATCTGAACCTGAATAGACAATATGAAGTCTAACTTATCAACTTATATTCAACATTTCTAATTGAATATAATTAGAACACAGCTCATCCACTCCCTCTGATCACATACACTCACATATACATGTATATAACCTTTTATATTTATAAAATGCAATATATATACATATATATATAAATAATTTCCAAAACAATTTTTGCACCAGCAACAAAAAAGAAAAATCTAAAAGAGAATTTAGATATCAATTAAACAGTCTTTTGGGTGTTTGATGTGGCCTCTTTGTACAAAGTGAGTATTTTCTAGGTAACCTGTCTAATTATCACTTCATAAAGTTTTACAGGCTTCATTTTTTTGTATCTACTTTTACCTTTTGCAAGTAAAGAACTGTTCCCTTTAGTACAGCATAAAAGGTCTTCCATCCTCGCTTTCCTCTTGGAGCTAGAAAGGGAAAAAAAATTGAAAAATTTTATTTGATGGAAATTTGCGTTTTTCGAAGGAGAACCTAAAAGGTCAACATGGTGATTATGCTTCAATGTTCCTGGTTTATTTGCTACCGAGACTAATAATAATGAGAACTAAAATTTTCTTGAGCCTTACTGTGTAACAGGCAGTATGATCTCATTTAATCCTCACAATAACACTGTGAGGTAGGTACTATTACTCTTGTCTTTTTATAAAACTGAAGCACAGAGAAGTACTCTGCTTATGGTCACATAACTAGGAAGAGGAGAAGCAGGACTCTGAGCCCAAGCAGCAAGGCTCTGCGGTCTGTGCTCCAGTAGAGGTGACTAAAAGACTGAAAAAGCAAGAGGCATATTGGAAATACACATTAATCTAAGGGCTCACGAACCAGAGCCTTCATGGCTTCGTCAAAGTTTCCAGGAGTCATAAGAAAAAAGTCCCGGAATATAAAAGGACTCCTCTTGACCTTTCTCCCAAACATCCACCAGCTGGACTGTAACTTTAATTATTATTACTCCTGTGGCAATTTGAGATACCTCTGCTGCAGATCATGCTGCCCTGTAACATAATTTTTTTTTTTCTAAATGCCTCTTTCAGTAGACTGTGAATAACCTGAGAACAGATATCCTTCATCTTCAGAATTCACAGAACCTTGCATAGTGCAAGGAAGACATTAGGCACCTTTATAAAAATTCTCCAAACTAAGTTTCTTCCGGAAGTCCTTATATTTCCTTTATTTATATTTTCCTGGAGTATAAAGTAGAATTTCTCTATTGACTTATATAAAACTTTACAGATTGTCCTAAAGTAAAAGCACAGATTAGCAAAACAGTTTACTATTTATTCTTAATCTTGATAAAATTAAAATCCGTAACTGGAAAAGGTTATTACCTGAATACCATTTCTCTAATGTCTACCAAATATGCAGGAAGGGCCATTTATTCTTATTCTGTTATCAACTATTTGGCTGTCTTTAGGCTGTCTTTAACCTGGATGCCTGATTAAATTAGGAAGTGCATTATTCTTAAGTAAATCTTTTAAATCTCCTTTGACTGAAGAATCGTTAGGCTTGGAAAGTAGGTGAATAGCCACCTACAGAACACGGGTGCTCCTGCCAACACCATACTGAGATATCCACCTGGCAAAATAGGACTCAAAACATCCACTCTGTAGGTTTCCAGGGGAAATAAAAAAATTTCATCCCATCTGTTTCCATCACGTAAGATTTTAAAGTGTGTACTCAAAAATAAATGATCAAAAAATGTATACCATAATCTTCTTTTTTTAAAAAATTTATTTATTTTATTTATTTATTTTTGGCTGTGTTGGGTCTTCGTTGCTGCACGTGGGCTTTCTCTAGTTGCGGCGAGCAGGGGTTACTCTTCATTGCGGCGCGGGGGCTTCTCATTGCGGTGGCCTCTCCTGTTGTAGAGCATGGGCTCTAGGAGTGTGGGCTTCAGTAGCTGTGGCTCGTGGTCTCAGTAGTTGTGGCTCGCAGCTCTAGAGCGCAGGCTCAGTAGTTGTGGCACACAACCTTAGTTGCTGCGCGGCATGTGGGATCTTCCCGGACCAGGACTCAAACCCTTGCCCCCTGCGTTGGCAGGTGGATTCTTAACCACTGCGCCACCAGGGAAGCGCCATAACCTTCTTTATAAAGAAAAACAAGTGGCTACTATAAAGAAAGCCATAGATCATCATATATGTGTATATATATATATATATATATATATATGAAATAAATGTTGACTGCCTTTTTCAATAGATGTCAAATCCTGATCTGGTCCATGTGAGAGCAGGGCACACAGAAGTGGCCCCGGGCTGCAGGAGCTGCTGCAGAGCAGGACAGAGGCAGTGGTGTGGTGGAGGTACCTGCTGGAAGGCAGACCAGCTGGTCTCTAGACCTTGTCTCAAACCTCTCCTCTCACCCACTAACCCTAATTCGGTAACTCCCGACCAGTCTCCCAACCTCTCAGGACTTCAGCTGCTTCATTTTAAAATGTGGATAATTCATATAACTTAAGGCAAAGCACTGGCTAATGCTGGAGAAGAACTTAGAGAAACCCTTCTGTTTTCTATAGGAGGAACACAGGTCCTGGATTTGAAAGGCTTTCCCCAAAGCCCTAAAACTAATTTAGTGGCATCTTGAGATTCCTTCAGTTTAAAGATTTACAAATCTAGTTTTCTGCTTTTCAAGTAGAAATCTATTAATCTGTTACCAAGGTTGTTGCCCCAGAATCATAACCCTGCCCCTCCCTCAAATGCAAACCAATTGCTCTTATCTAAGTTTCAGGAGGAAGCTGCAAGGAGAAAAAGAAGAACTGGTCAGAACCAACTAAGCCCAAGATGGGGGAAGATTTGACTTCCAGTGACCTTGAGCCAGATTAGCTAATCGACACACCCACTGACACCAGGATAGTTGACAACTGCCATGACAACAACTGGAAAAGCCCATACAAGGACTGAAAAGGAGTGTTGCATCAGGTCCGGATCCAAACCATACCTCTATTCATGAATATTCCTCCCTCTCTTTCCAATTCCCACCCTTTTACCTGGACCCTCCTCTGTACATTGTGTCTCTGCCTGAATTGGGTTGAGAAGTTGATTTGGGAACCGAGTTCTGGCTTCTTTCCATTCTTTGGCCATTGAATAAAGGCTGTGCTGTCCCAGGCTCTTCATTGGTTTCATTAGTGGCTGTGTGAATCCGAGCAGAAAAAGAACCTCCTTGACGGAGACAAGGAGTCTCCACCCGGGTTAGGACCCCAGTGTGGGTCTAGTCCACCAATTTGGTAACAAATTGGTGTACATGTTCACAAAAACTTTTAACAGATCTTCATCTTTACCACACTAAGCCTCCTAGAAATGGATCCCAAAGATCTCTCCAACCAAACTCTGATCGCAAGTCAGCTGTGGGTGACCAATGCTGAGTCAGGGAGCATTAACCCTGTGCGCCATGCTCTATTTTTCCAGCTCCCACAGAAATGTAAAACTTAATCTTGTTTTTGGTCAATTATAACTTAGTTGTTTAACGCACACCACAATGCTAAAAATAAGACACTAGTATTACCTCCATTTTACAGTGGAATTCAGGGAAGAAAAGGACCACTGTGCACTAAACAGGATGGGAAGGCTGCAGAGGCAGCCTCAGCGGCCCTGATTTTAGAGCCACACACACACACTGCAGCTATGGCTTTTGCACCCTCGGTGAGCCTTGCCACGTGAAACACAGGGCTGGACCCCACTGAATGAGGAGGGTTGTCCCTCATAATGACAACTGTAGAGGGAGTTAAATCTGACATCATAGCACATTCATTATTAAGTACAGAAGGCTGGGGAAAGAGCTATAACTGTAGTTACATAATGAACATGGTGGAAGGAATCAGTGAAGTCACTGACTGGAAACTGGATGTATCCTACTGCAAGGCTCTAACTACAAGGGTGGTAGCGGGTTGGTAGGTAGATGCATTTTAACAAATATCTGGGCGCCTACTGTGAAAAGGTGTTTGCCAAACTTGATCAAAAGATACCGTTTTGTGCACTAGACTACACTTCCACGGCTATTTTTAACATGCATACCCAGAGTCCAAAGACTGCTTTCCTTCTTCTTGAAAATAAAAGAATCTTGGTGTATTTTAACTCATCAACTGTCTCCAACCTTACATGATAACAGTGTCTATTACTTTTGTCTGTTTAATACTACTGAAGTAGACATTTTGTATAAATTGCCACTGTCTGCTTAGATTTTCCCTCATGTTTACTATAATATTACCTTTATTTGTTACTTCTGTAACTCAGGTTGTTTTTGGAGGCCATTTTCAACTACTTATTGAAATCTATACTTAGAAGTTCTTTTAGTGAGGGTCTTTTGGTGGCAAATCTTTTCCTGTTTTTCTTCATATGAAAATGTCTTTATTTCATAAAAAATTCTAGGGACTTCCCTGGTGGCATAGTGGCTGAGAATCTGCCTGCCAATGCAGGGGACACGGGTTCGAGCCCTGGTCTGGGAAGATCCCACATGCCACGGAGCAACTGAGCCCGTGCACTACAACTACTGAGCCTGTGCTCTAGAGTCCATGAGCCACAACTACTGAGCCCGTGTGTCACAACTACTGAAGCCTGCGCGCCTAGAGCCCATGCTCCACAACAAGAGAAGCCACTGGAATGGGAAGCCCAAGCACCGCAAAGAACAGTAGCTCTCGCTCGCCACAACTAGAGAAAGCCCGTGTGCAGCAACAAAGACCCAATGCAGCCCAAAATTAATTAATTAATTGAAAAAAAGTCTAGGTGGACAATTACCTTTTCTCATGAAGACATTACTTCATGTTGTTTACGTACAGGTTTCTTCACGTTTATCCAGCTCTGGGCTTCTCAGGTATCATTTCCAAACACTTGCAGTCATCATATGTTTGAATACTGTCTCTCCATTGTCTCCGCTATTGAAACTTCTGATACTCTAACTTCTCAGTCTACCCCACAGGCGGCTTCACAGCTCCTTCATACTCTATCTTTTTGTCCTCTGTGCTAAAAGCTGGTAGTTTTATCTCCAGTACTCCTTGGGCACCCAGATCCACAGATGCCCTGAGGGATTAGCAGTCCCAGGGCTAGCTCACTTCCTAGATTTGTACTCATTTCCCTTTCATTGTTACAGGTTCATCCACTCATTTAAAAGGTGTTTAAAAATATTTTAATCACTTTTAGATGTTTCATAATGTACGAGTTTTGGAATTTGTAGGCCATCGTGTTGCCAAAAAACAGTTTCTCATTTTTTCTTTTCTTTTGAAGAATTCATTCACAAATTTTATAATCTAGAATTCATTTGAAGCAGGATAAGGAGATAGGAGCGGAGGACAGGATGAGAGAAACTAGAACAAGGAAGGAGGCTGTTACAATCGCCCACATGAGAGAAAAAGCCCAAAATATGGATAGAGGTGCACAATAAAGACAAAGAACTGGAAAGAAAGGGGAAGGCAGCAGTGCTA